TCACTGGACAGAAGGGGAGACAGACTCAGAGAAGAAAAGGCTCATGCCCAGGGCCAGGCAGGGAGTTACTGATGAGTTCAAATTGCAGTCCAGGTTTCCTAACCACCACCTACCTGCTGCCGCTTCCTCTCCTCCTTGAGTATCTATCACCTCACTGTTTCGCTCTGGGTCCCTAGCCCGGCCTCCACATCCCCACCCTCTGGACAGCGCCCAAGGTCAAAGGATGACCCTAAATCTGTGTGCCGGGATCTAACCCTGCCAGATGACAGGAGCGAAAGCCAGCGGTGGCAGTGGCAAGCCGGAGAGGAAGAAGCAGTGTCTGATGATGTGGCCTGACCTCAGAAAGGAAGCCTGGTTGGTCACCAGGGGGAATTTCCCCGGGTGAGGTCTCACGTCTATGCAAATATTGCACTGCAATTAACCTGGACCCTGGGATGGGAGAGAGAAAAGAGGAGAGAGGACACTGGGAAAGACAGAGTGAAGGGCAGGTAATAGGACCCGAACATCCCCAGGGTACCAGGTACTGTGCTAGGCTCCTCATGCACTTAATCTCATTTTGCCCCTAAAGTATCTTCCAATGTAGGAAAATTGAGAGTCTGAGGCCCAGTGAGAGAGTGCATTGCTCAAGCAAAATCAGCACATTCTAACCCCAACGGGAGATCAGGCTTCAGGGAGAGGCGATAATGGTGATGATAGATTTGGCACTGCTGGTGCTGCTGACAAAGGTGACAGTGATGAGGCTTGAGTCCACAGTCTAGCGAGGTTTCATTTTAGGTTTCCATCTCACTCACCAGGGGAGTTTTATCCTGGGAACAGCCAAAACAGCAGGAAGGTAGTGACCCTGACTCAAGGGCAAATCCCAGCACTCTGGTTTTTCAAGGCCTTGTAGGGGCAAGGGATGTGGGAGCTGACACTATTAACCCCTTCACCACCAGTTTCGGGAGCACTCCTGGAAAAAGGAATAGAAGGGGATCCATGCATTTGAAGGAGAATCACTCTCTGCTACCTCTTTAAATTTCCCTCGCTGTGCACCTCACCATTTCCAGAAAGCCTTCCCTGGGGACTTTACTCCTTTTCCAAGGCTTGATCCCATTTACTGCCTGGTTCTCCAGGGAGCTGGTCTTGTCTCCCAGAGCAGGATGCCAAGTAGGATCAGAGCTCAAGTCAGGGCTCTTGGGCTCAAAGCCCGTCCTCCACATGGCCTGGTTGGTTACTGTCCTGATGGGCTTACAAATGAAAGCGCAGACTCCTGATTTCTGGAGGTGTGTGGGGCACAGTAAGGCTGTGCGTTAAGAAAAGTGTGAGTGGGCCGGGCGCGGTGGCTCAAGCCTGTAATTCCAGCACTTTGGGAGGCCGAGGCGGGTGGATCACGAGGTCAAGAGATCGAGACTGTCCAGGTCAACGTAGTGAAACCCCGTC